GACTGGAAGGGGGTAAAAGTGTCCGAAATGGAAGGGGGGAAAGTGTCCGGACAGGAAAGGGGTGAAAGTGTCCGGACTGGAAGGGGGTTGAAAGTGTCCGGACTGGGAAGGGGGTGAAAGTGTCGGGACTGGAAGGGGGTGAAAGTGTCGGGACTGGAAGGGGGGTGAAGGGGTGTGAAAGTGTCGGGACTGGAAGGGGGGTGAAAGTGTCTGGACTGGAAGGGGGTGAAAGTGTCTGGACTGGAAGGGGGTGTGAAAGTGTCTGGACTGGAAGGGGGGTGAAAGTGTCTGGACTGGAAGGGGGGGAAAGTGTCTGGACTGGAAGGGGGTGAAAGTGTTCTGGACTGGAAGGGGGTGAAAGTGTCTGGACTGGAAGGGGGTGACTGGAAGGGGGTGAAAGTGTCTGGACTGGAAGGGGGGGGGGGTGAAAGTGTCGGGACTGGAAGGGGGGTGAAAGTGTCGGGACTGGAAGGGGGGTGAAAGTGTCTGGACTGGAAGGGGGTGAAAGTGTCTGGACTGGAAGGGGGGTGAAAGTGTCTGGACTGGAAGGGGGTGAAAGTGTCTGGACAGGAAAGGGGTGAAAGTGTCTGGACTGGAAGGGGGTGAAAGTGTCCTGGACTGGAAGGGGGTGAAAGTGTCTGGACTGGAAGGGGGTGAAAGTGGGGGGACTGGAATTGGGGGGGGAAAGTGTGGGGACTGGAAGGGGGGTGAAAGTGTCTGGACTGGAAGGGGGTGAAAGTGTCTGGACTGGAAGGGGTGGTGAAGCTGGGGAAGGGGGTGTGAAAGTGTCTGGACTGGAAGGGGGTGAAAGTGTCCGGACTGGAAGGGGGGGAAAGTGTCCGGACTGGAAGGGGTGGGAAGTGTCCGGACTGGAAGGGGGGGGGGAACGTGTCCGGACAGGAAAGGGGGGAAAGTGTCTGGACAGGAAGGGGGGGTGAAAGTGTCCGGACTGGAAGGGGGTGAAAGTGTCCGGACTGGAAGGGGGGTGAAAGTGTCGGGACTGGAAGGGGGGTGAAAGTGTCCGGACTGGAAGGGGGGAAAGTGTCCGGACTGGAAGCGGGGGGGGGAAAGTGTCGGACTGGAAGGGGGGGAAAGGGGATGTGTCCGGACTGGAAGGGGGGTGAAAGTGTCGGACTGGAAGGGGGTGAAAGTGTCCGGACTGGAAGGGGGGGTGAAAGTGTCCGGACTGGAAAGGGGGGTGAAAGTGTCGGGACTGGAAGGGGGGTGAAAGTGTCCGGACTGGAAGAGGGGGGGGAAAGGAAGTGTCTGGACTAGAAGGGGGTGAAAGTGTTCCGGACTGGAAGGGGGGGGGGAAGTGTCCGGACTAGAAGGGGGGGTGAAAGTGTCGGGACTGGAAGGGGGGTGAAAGTGTCGGACTGGAAGGGGGGTGAAAGTGTTGGACTGGAAGCGGGGGTGAAAGTGTCCAGACTGGAAGGGGGTGAAAGTGTCCGGACTGGAAGGGGGGGGGGGGGAAAGGAAGTGTCGGACTGGAAGGGGGGGGGGGGATGTGTCGGACTGGAAGGGGGGTGGGAAGTGTCCGGACTGGAAGGGGGGTGAAAGTGTCGGACTGGGGGGGGGAAAGTGTCCGGACTGGAAGGGGGGGAAAGTGTCCGGACTAGGAAGGGGGGGGAAAGTGTCCGGACTGGAGGGGGGGGGAAGTGTCTTGGACTAGGGGGGGTGAAAGTGTTCGGACTGGAAGGGGGGGGGGGGGAAGTGTCCGGACTAGAAGGGGGGGAAAGTGTGTCCGGACTAGAAGGGGGGGGGGGAAAGTGTCCGGACTAGAAGGGGGGGGGGGGAAGTGTCCGGACTAGAAGGGGGGGGGGGAAGTGTCCGGACTAGAAGGGGGGGGGGGAGTGTCCCGGACTAGAAGGGGGGGGGGGGGGGGGGGGAAGTGTCTGGACTGGAAGGGGGGGGGGGGGGAAGTGTCCGGACTAGAAGGGGGGGGGGGGGAAGTGTCCCGGACTAGAAGGGGGGGGGGGAAGTGTCTGGACTGGAAGGGGGGGGAAAGTGTCCGGACTGGAAGTGGTAAATGGATTGGTAAAGTGAAGGGCCCCTTGACGTGAGTAGCTGCGGGTGTGTACAGGTTGAATGTTTTGTTTCCTGTGAGCCCCATCTGTGTTCTATATTCTGTATAAATCACATCCAGATACTGATATCAGCATTGTCTGTGCCGATCAATCAGCACTCCATCCCGTATTTGTCCTTTTCCATGTCTCTGATCACAAAGAAGATGAGGCCGACCTGTTTCCATGTGTTTTATTTTCTTCTTCTCCTGCCTTGTATTGTGTGGAGTTTATTCCATAGATAAAAGCTACAGCACACAGCAGCGTCCATGACCTCGGCTCAGAGCCCTCGAATATGGCACGATCGATCGCGGTCTCCCTGCTGTTATCAGTGGATCAATCGGTGGCTCGGCAGCAAGACAATAGACACTTCTGTCTCCGCTGTCAGCTCTCGGATTCCTGGTGTAATAATGAAACGTTCCATCTGTGTTTCTACAGCAGCGCGCGATGCTGACCTGTGCAGTAGAGTTGTACAGAAGTCTTTTCCTGCAGTCTAGGACGGCGTTTTCCTGAAAGCGGTATTAGGGCTCATGCAGGGGCGGACTGACCATTTGGAAACTCGGGCACTGCCCGAGGGCCCGGGGTCAGTAGGGGGCCCCATGAGATGCCCCTGGTACCTTTTTCATAGGCTTTTTTGAGTTTGGGCAAGGACACAGGGGCCCCATGATCCCCTATTGCCCGGGGGCCCCATGAGTTGTCAGTCCGCCCCTGGGCTCATGTACACTCCAGAAACGACTCCCAGGATTGGATGACAATGGAAAACAAAACGAAAAACAGCAAATAGTGCAATACTGAAAAGCTTTAATTATTTAATAAGGCTGCCTTCTATGCACTCACGTGTTTAACCAATTCAATACCGGGCAATTTGACACCTTCCTGCCCAGGCCAGTTTTCAGGTTTCAGCGCTCTCACATTTTGAATGACAATTGCGCGGTCATACAACATTGTACTCAAACTAAAAGGTACACGGCCGGTGACAGATCGCACCGCTGCGCGGCTCTGCAGGAGCGCAATCTGCGCATGTGCGGGAGGACGCCATATGGCGTCCCACCGGAACGCTGGTGACATTTGCCAGCCGCCATTCGGCCATAGGGCGGGCGGCAAATGCTTAAAATAGTTTTCAGGCTTTCATAATAGGCACAAAGGCTCATATTATAAGGCTTAATTCATTTGTAGAAGTGGACTGGCAAAGATGAATCAAAATCTTTTTCCAAATAGCAGGAAATCACTCTGGAATGCTGCAAACTAGCATGCGTTCCACTCACCGGATGTGACGTCACCACGCACCCACCGGAAATACGTTGACGCATTTGGCCCTCCTATTTTTCGCTCCGCTCCATAAGACGCACCTAGGTTTTAGAGGAGAAAAACAAGAAAAAAAATATTCTGAACCAATGGACTGCAGACACAGTATAGGGGATGACCAGAGACTGCGGACACAGTACAGGGATGACCAGAGACTGCGGACACAGTACAGGAGATGACCAGAGACTGCGGACACAGTACAGGGGATGACCAGAGACTGCGGACACAGTACAGGGGATGACCAGAGACTGCGGACACAGTACAGGAGATGACCAGAGACTGCGGACATAGTACAGGAGATGACCAGAGACTGCGGACACAGTACAGGAGATGACCAGAGACTGCGGACACAGTACAGGAGATAACCAGAGACTGCGGACACAGTACAGGGATGACCAGAGACTGCGGACACAGTACAGGAGATGACCAGAGACTGCGGACACAGTACAGGGAGATGACCAGAGACTGCGGACATAGTACAGGAGATAACCAGAGACTGCGGACACAGTACAGAGAGATGACCAGAGACTGCGGACACAGTACAGGAATGACCAGAGACTGCGGACACAGTACAGGAGATGACCAGAGACTGCGGACACAGTACAGGGAATGACCAGAGACTGCGGACACAGTACAGGAGAATGACCAGAGACTGCGGACAGTACAGGAGATGACCAGAGACTGCGGACACAGTACAGGAGATGACCAGAGACTGCGGACACAGTACAGGGAATGACCAGAGACTGCGGACATAGTACAGGAGATGACCAGAGACTGCAGACAGTAAAGGAGATTACCAGACACTGTGGACCTTGGGGGAGGGATGGGGAACGGGTACCTGAATTTGACAGGTACCGCTCCCACTTCCGCGGAGTTGTCCTTCCTTCTTCTTCCCGTGGTGGCTTCTGTGACAGCCGGGTGCCCACTGGGCATGCACGAGAAGCGCTGTGCTTTGTGAATGGCCCAGAGCCTTCTGGGACCTGTCATGTGTCCCAGAAGACACCGGACCATTCACAAAGCGCGGTGCTTCTCGCGCATGCGCAGTGGGCACTCGGCTGTCACCGAAGCTGCCGCGGGAAGACTGTACAGCGCTGGAGCGAGGAATAGTTAAGGCCCTGCAGGAGAGAACAGCTGAGCGGCTGGCCTGATATTCTGACATGGTGGCGGCAGAAATACCGGACCGGCTGCTTTACATTCGCTCCATAAGACGCACTGACATTTTCCCCCCTTTTTTGGGTGGAAAAAAGTGCGTCTTATGGGAGCGAAAAATACGGTAATTGTTTTGGGGACTTTTTATTTATAGTATTTTAATTTTTATATATAATTCATTTGCGCTGTGGAGGGTTTAAAATTTTGTTGGATTGTTTTTTGAACAGCAGCATTTAAATTTCTGAAAGTTTATATCTATTTTTCTGTGGCGCAAGTTTATATGTATTTTCTTTTAGCCAACGGTGAAGCAATTTCCATAAAGTAAGTGGCAGTTGACTCCCCAACGGCTCACAGCATTTAGAAGGAAATTTTGGTCACATAATAAATTGGGTGTAAGAGCAATGAAGACCGCTAACTTCCCTTAACTTCACCAAGAAAACATTTGCACTCGAGACCTTCCTGAATATTCTCTGTTTCTTGCAGTGCCTACAGCATAAGGCCTTCCACCCCGAGGAACCCCTTCCACCTATCGACCAGCATCTTCTGGACATGCTGGAGGCCCCCGCAGAAGTTAAAGCCAATTGTAAAGGTGCCTTAGCCAAAGTGAAGGCCTGCTTCCCTCTGCAAGTGGCCGGGAAGAGGAAGGAGCAGAAGACAGCCCAGGATATCTTTGAAGACAAGTAGGTGCCGCATTGCGTATCGCTTTCATTTACTCTATTGCTTTGTCTCCGACTGGGTTTGTGTAAGTGGCTTCTTATGCACAGCAAGAGTGTACGGCTTCCTGGGGCTGCGAGCTGTTACCTTGAAGAGAACGAATCACAATTGCTGTAATGCAAAAATTTGGGATATTCAGCCCTTAACCACTTCCTGTCCGGCCGTTGTATATAAACGGCCGGACGGTGGCAGTGCAGGGTCGGGTGGCCGCTTATAAACGGCCTCCCCGCACCCTGCTTGTGCGCGCTCCTGGGAGCGTGCAGCACCGCGATCCGGTGCCCGCTGTGTCCTCCGGACACAGTGAAACACCGATCGTCGTACGGGACCTCTGTGCAAGGTCCCAATCATGTGATCACTGATTGGCCAATCAGTGATCACATGCAGAGTAATAAGCAAGATGTCACTTCTGACATCATTGCTTACTACGTGTGAAATCTGTGAATATTCACAGAGGTCACATGGTACAGGGCTATTCACAACAGCCTTGTACCGTGTGACAAGCTGTGACCAATCACAGCTCACACAGTAGTGCTCAATGGCTGCAAGAAGGCAGCCAAAGAGAAGGAGAAATGATTGCTTTTACAGCCTTTATGGGTATGAAAGCAATCAGTGTAAAAAAATAAATAAATATTCATCACCCCCCAGAAGTAGTACAGTGTCACCATGGTGACACTGTATTACTAGGGTGACAGTATGTAAAAAAAAAACATAAATAATAATAAAAATGATAATTTTTGGTTATAAACTAATTTGGGTTATTTTTTTTTTTCTACTAAAAAGATAACGGAATAAATTTTGGCCAAGATTTATGATGAAAAAACTATTTATTTGCAAAATTTTATAAGAAAAACACTTTTTTTTCAAAATTTTTGAACTTTTTCATTTCCATAGCAAAAAAAAAAATAAAAATCCCAGCGGTGAATAAATACCACCAAAATAAAGCTTTATCTGTCTCAAAAAAATGCTAAAAAATTCCTATGGGTACAGTGTTGCATGACCGCGCAATTGTAATTCAAAGTGTGATAGCGCTGAAAACTGAAAAATTGGCCTGGACTGGAAAGGGGGTGAAAGTATCCGGACTGGAAGTGGTTAAATATTCAGATTCAGTCTAGCCGTGGCAGGATCTTTAAAGAGCAACTCCAGCGAACTGCTAAATACAAACTCGAGGCCTTTGTATAGGAATTGTTTGACCTTGGAAAGCAACGCACATAGGGGGTTCTATTTTAAAAAAAAAAAACTGCACTTTCATGCAGGCTGGGCGAATTTTCCCTGTATCTTCTGTAATAGATTAAATCCTTTGATGATCCATTCCATCTAGTGACCAAAATTCAGTATATTTCATCATGTGGTATTTTAGAACATTATACCTACATTTTGGTCAATATTATTATAATATTAAGTATTTGAATTTTTTACATTTTTTTTTTTATTTTTTTATTTTACATCCTTTTTATGTTTCTCTTGAATTTTCATGCAGACCAAGCTGTTCAATAGATGTGGTAGTTGCAGGGATGGGGTAAACCATGCTTACAACAGTCACATTTTGGTTATATTTTTAAAACCTATTGCTTAAAAAAGAAGTTCAGGAATTAAAAAACAAAAAACAAAAAAAACATTCATACTCCCCTAGATGGGTGCAGCATCGGTCCCCCGACGGCTCTACACCAAGAACTGAACGATCAAAGACCGGTAATTGTTTAGTTCTCAGGTCCACTTTGTGTTGTGCCCCTCCAGCGCTTACTTGAGTCCTGAGCTGTGGAGGGGGAGGGAGTGGCTGCTGAGGCTCTCAGCGGCTCAATCTTGTGTGTCTGCTAAAGAGCAGCGTGTTTCTTTGTGTGTTAAGAATGTGTGTAATTTTGCGCACGTTTTTGATATGGATATACACTATATTGCTGAAAGGACTGGGTCTCCTGCCTTTCCACGCACACATGACCTTTCACTGATGGTCGGGTGTGATGGAGACCTGGATCACAGACTCATCCGCTCTAAAATACATTCATTCATCCCAAAGTGTTTCTATGGGGTTGAGGGTCAAGGACCTCTTGTGCAGGACAGTCAAGTTCCTCCACCCCAAACTGGCTCCTCCATGTCTTTAAATGACCTTGCTTTTTGTGCACTGGTGGGCAGTCTGTTGGAACAGGAAGGGGCCATCCCCAAAACTCTTCCCACAAAGTATGTGGGAGCATGAAATTGTACCAAAATGTCTTGGTGTGCTGATGCCTTAACCCCGGGGTTCACACCTAAGTGTTATTCTGCAGCGTCTTGCAGAAACGCAGTACAGTCCCCATTGAACATGATCATTCCTATAGGACACATTCACGTTTTTTACTTCTCCCGCGCTGTCCAACCTGGTGTGTTTTTTTGGGAAAAGGGTCATGGAAGACCATTTTTTTTTAACACAAAAAGTTGCGTTTTTGGTTCTATAGACTTCAATGAAAAACGCTGCAGAAAAGGCCATGTTGTGTGTTTTAAATCTGCCTAGCAACAAGAAAAAATACAAAAAAATTGAGAAAAAAAAACGCGTAAAAAAAATGTAGGTGTGAAAACGCAACACAAAACACAATGCAGAAACGACTCAATAGCTCTCGCATCTGTGCATATGTTGTGAACCTAGCATTAGGGTTAACCCTTCACTTGGAACTAAGGGGGCCAAGCACAACCCTGAAAAACAACCCCCCCTCTAAAAATCCCACCCGCCACCAAACCTTTTACACTTGGTACAATGCAGTCAGGCAAGTACCCGTTCTTCCTGGCAACCGCCCAACAAACCCAGACACATCATCCATTGGAATTGCCAGACAGAGAAGTGTGATTATGGTCACTACATCAGCAAACACGTCGCACCAATGCTCTAGAGTCCAGTGGCGTCGTGCTTTACACCACTGCATCCGACGCTTTGCATTGCACATGGGTGACGCAAAGTCTTTGGATTGCAGCTGCTCGGACCATGGAAACCCATTACCCAAAGTGTTTACTATTTGCCTAACAGGATAAGTAATGAAACATTACTCATCACTTTCAGTCTCCTAGATCATAGAGTTGATCGGAGATGATCCCGGTCTGTGGTCACCTCTATCATTATGGGCCGCAACTGCCGGATCGGCTTCTAGGCTTACCTGGTGTGGCGGAAAACAAAGTACGGGCAGCACTGAGCGGGAGGATGGGGGGGGAGAACAATCCCTCCCGCTGCTTGTAAAAGAGATCCAGTGGCTAATTGGCCACCCGGATCATTTTTATAGGGTAGGGAATCGCCGGTTATGAAAATGTGGATATCGCAGTTAAGGATGACGGCTGCATCCATTACCCTGGTAAAACCACTTGAACACAATCATGTACATGTATGTGATTGTGCGTTACGTATACAAAATTTTTCTTTTATTCTTTTTTTTTTCTTTGACCAGAGCTCTACCTTAAGATCCACAGACACATTGGGGTTATTTACTAAAACACCACGGCGCAAAATCTGCTGCAGCTCCACATAGAAACCAATTTGTCAAAGCTTAGTTGAAACAATCTGAAGTTAGAAGCTGATTGGTTCCTATTATTTAATATTATTATTATTATTTTATTTCAGGTAACTTATATAGGGGACAGTATATAAAATAAAAAAAAAATTAAATATAAATGATTAAAAAAAAGTTTTTAAAGTGCCCCTGTTTCCCCCCCGCATATACATAGGTTACACACGCATATTTATTTATTTATTTCCCTTCCCTTCTCACTGCCCTACCCAAAACGAACGCTATCCCCACTCCAGTCGATCCTAACTCAGCGGCCAGACTCATCCACCTCACCAAGCGCTCCACATCTGCCTCCCCCCTCTGCCAATCCCTTCATTGGCTCCCGATTCCCCAACGCATCAAGTTCAAGCTGCTAACCCTGACCTACAAAGCCATTCACAATTCCGCCCAGAGAACTACATAACTGACCTGATAACCCAGATACTACCCTACCCGTGCCCTCCGCTCCTCACAGGACCTCCTGCTCTCTAGCTCCCTGGTGTCGTCCTCTCCCACGCCCGATTGCGAGGACTTCTCAGGACTTCCCCCATCCTCTGGAACTCCCTACACCCAATCCATCAGAATGTCACCTACCCTCCTCACCTTCAGGCGCACCCTGAAAACCCATCTCTTCAGGGAAGCCTACCCCACCCTCACCTAACACACCCGACCTAACCTAACAACTAACCTCCTCCACTCCTCCCACCACTCCATCCCCCACAGCCATCTCCTCCTGTACCACCTTCCCCTCCCTCCTAGATTGTAAGCTCGAAAGGAAGCAGGGCCCTCGAACCCCTCGTGTATTGTTACTGTCTTGTCTCATGTCTGTCCCCCCGCTACTGTACAGCGTGTAACCCTTTGGCGCTATATAAATACTGCCAATTCACCTACCAGCATGACTTTGGAGTGTGGGAGGAAACCGGAGTACCCGGAGGAAACCCACGGAGGCACAGGGAGAACATGCAAACTCCATGCAGGTGGTGCCCTGGTTGGGATTTGAATCAACAACCCTAGTGCTGCCAGGCGGAAGTGCTAACCATTTAGCCAATGTGCTGCCCATGTAAAGCTGCACCAGATTCTGGGTGCTCCAGTTTTAGTAAATCCCCCCCCCAATGTCTCTTGTATTTCCAGGCCTGAACGATTAAATCCGCTGTTGAAATTTTTAGCATTTAACAACAGGAGAGTCTTCTCGATCTCAGCGTATAATTAGCTGCTGTTCGGCTAAATGTCACCAACCAATTACAATGGTCTGCCACTTGTATTAGAGTGCTGAGCATTCTGTCTTTGTGTTTTTCTTTTTTTTTTATGCTGCTGACGTCCTTCTTGCAGCAGTATAGAAATAACAGCAGGCAGGTACTGGGGCGGCTCAGACATTAGTCATTGCACCTCCGCTGCAGCCGTCTGGTGATAGGCAAGCTGATGACTGACACATGGGGGCATTTTAAAGGGGGGGGGGGGGGTACATAGTGC